GAAGATTACATTCGGGAATGGGAAGATTACAACCGGGATGCTAGATTTGGGAGCCGGCATCAACCTCATGCCTTACTCTATTTACAAACAATTGGGTTTACAAGGCCTCAAGCCGACTCGGATGAGCCTCCAATTGGCGGACCGCACCTTGCGGGAGCCAAAGGGTATCATCGAAGATGTGTTGGTCAAGGTTGGCTCGATTGTTGTACCGGTCGACTTCGTAGTCCTTGACGTCGGAGATGTCCCGAATACCGAGAAGGAGCACACTATCTTGCTTGGGCGACCCTTCATGGCGACGACCAACACAATTATCGACGTCAAGGAGGGACGAGTCACTCTCTCGGCTCATGGAGAGATTGCTACTTTCACGATGAACAACGTCCGGGACGCTCCAACCAAAGTTGGCCAATGCTCATTTGTGGAAGACGTCGACAACGAGGTACATCTCTACTCCAATCTTAATTTATCTAATGAAAATGGTGTTGTAGGTAACGAGGAGGATGTGCTAGAGTTGAAAAGTGATGATGGGATTGGTAAGAAGTCAAAACCGAATAGGAAGAGGTCGAAAGGAAAGAGAAAGGATGGGAAGATTAAACCGGGAGGCAACCCACCGAGCTTGAAGGATGACGCGAGTACCGGGGGGTGGAAGTTCACAAGAACCGGGATAAAATTCGAGAAAGCGGATGTTTGGAAGAAGAGACCCCCGGTATCTCCGAGAAGTAAGTGGGCAAATTTGTTCGGTGACGAGTCCGAAAATGAGAAAGGAGGGGCTCGTCGAGCTATGCCCGGTTGATAATTGAACGAATGGGAAAGTCGAGCTCACGACTTTAAACCGAGCGCTTCGTGGGAGGCAACCCACGTTTTGGTTTTCTTTTTTCGCTTCCTTTCTATATATATAAAAAAAAATAAAAAAATCGAGAGCTCGTGCCGACCTGCTCGGCAGTACCGACTTGTTAGAGCCGAGCCAAAAAACAATGAGCGAAATCGAGTATTTTTAGTGTTTTTGCGTTGAGTTGAAAATTTGGGCGAAAAATAGCGAAATATAGCTAAGTATAGAATCGTGAGCCCAAGCTACCGTCCGCGC